GTCGCAGCATCAGAAATAAGAAGGCGGGAACCGAATATAAGCCGAGCAACTTGAGAAATTGACGCATTCATTGGAATTTTTCTTTAATTTCTCGCTTCCACGCGGTCCATTTTCATTCAAGATTTTACAGAGATTTTTTCATCTCGATAGCTGGTCTTTTGAGCATCACATTAGCACAATGCGTCACGAAATACGCTTCCAAAGAATTTGTTGTGAATTAAGCGAGTTAAGACTCGAAAAAAACCAGAAAAAATCAAAGACCAGCCAAGGCGACGTCACCCTCATAAAGGTGCCGAGTGCCGAATCTGTTGTTATCTCGTGGATGATCTCACACAAAAGATCTTGACAGTAGTCTTATTGATGTCTATGATACCTTTCTATTTTAGGAAAATGATTATTCTTACAAACAAGACAGGAGCCTTCAAGCGCTCCATTTATGATTTTGTTGCTAGTTTCAATCTCAACCGTGTTTGGATGTGGAGTGATTCCTGGAGGTCAAAGTAATGAATAGGAATTATTATGGATCTACAAATATTCCATTCTTAGATGGTTAAGAACTCTAATCAGAATGAGCATGCCTAGCTACTCATCATTGCTTAATTGTTGTCGCAGACTGCGCTACCTTTAGGCAGAATTTTTGATTCTGTATAAAAAGAAAGATAAAGCTAAGAAGTTTTTCAGTGCAGCGACTTTTATGATTTAGCTAACACCAGAAGTTTATAAATGAACTTCAATGGTCAACGTTCTGGAGTCTTCGTCATCTCGGAGCCCATGATTAGATTCGATTCTCCACTGTCGCTCGCTATCGTTGTAGTCTTCGTCTTCGTTGTTGTGCACGTCCAATTTTCTGCAAAGGAACATCGCTCGAATGAAGAATTTCACTTGGCGATGTTATCGTATACAAGATAACTGCCACACAAGTTGCCAGCGTTAGTTATAAGTTGATAGTGGTTGAAATGACAACATGCCAGGACTTGACAACGTGAAATGTTGTCTGAGCCTTTTCAAAGTCGATGGCATGCGTTTTCATAGATATTCATCTTCAATCTGCTGTTCAAAATATCACCTGAGAGCATCGATATATTCTGAAAGATTGCCGAAATGTACATGAGCCATTGACATGCTAAACCTTGAAGAGGCTTGAATCAGTTCCAGTATAGATCGAAGCTCTCAAACGAGATTTTTAAAATAGTCGAATGAGAAATTATTTATAAGAACAGTTCTATATCAATGAACATTGCCGAGTGAGGTTCCATTCGGGCGGTGCTCCACCGAGAAAGAGTCGACTTGAACGACACGAAAACGAATAATTGTGGACGATCGACTCGAATTATCGGCTCTGAAGAAACGAAGACGTCGAAATATGGCCGAATAAAGTTATTTTTTCAACCACGTGATATTAGCTAAATTTTAAAGAAGGTGTTATTGAATGGTAATGACGAGAAGAGCCGGTTTCCGAAGTACTTAGTAATTTATTTTACAACAATTCGCTACAAAAACTACGAAATTTCGTTGCAGCGAGCACTAGGACCTTCACTGCCAGCGGGCCCAGCAACTTACCTATTATCGCGGTTTACACAAAAAACAGAGCAATCTCTGCCATAGTCCCTGGTATAGCAACCAGCAAGGATGCTGTTCAGGCATTGCACAACGTTTTGCAATGCAAACAGTGAGTTTACAACTTGAGCATTCCATTCTTTTTCGCGAATTGTGAAAAGGCGTATGAGATGAGCTGCAATTTTCTCACAGATCTTCAGTCTCTAAAGCTAACCTAACTTGACAGATTTTATATATGTTCGCTGAAAGTATTTCCGAACTCATTCTTCGAAATAGTGAAGAAGATTTACGTTTTAGGTCGTCGATGTTCTCGAAATCGAAGGTCGGAGGAGCACTCTTGCCTGATTTTGTGATCTCCAACATTCTCGGTCAACTTCAAGTTAATACCACTTACGAACCATTGGAATGTCAGGACTTAAAGCCACCAGAGATGCGCGTAAGTCTCCAGTAGTGGACATTGATTTAGGAAATTCCAATCCGAACTATAAGGGGCATTCAAAAGCAGAGCTGTACTTATTTTTCTTGCAAACAAAGATATTTTCTATAAACTTATTATAAAATATCTCAGAGTTGAGGAAAACTATCATAGAGCCATAACATCAACATCTTTCAAATTGAGAATATCTTTTCGAATGTTATACATATTTTATTTTCAGAATAATACAGTATTCAGTGTGTTAATAGATGAAGTTTTGTGAATTTCGAGAAGTAAAAGGAAATAGTGTCCAACATTGTTTTGATTTTTCTTGTTGCCTAGTGCGCAGAAGAGGAAGTGTTTCTGAGACCTATAGTTTCTTGAGCGGCTACGATGGAAAGCTGTATTTTCGTCGGTAGCACGGTGACGGGAATTTGCCCAATGAATGGGCGAGGGATGAATGTGCGAAGGTTGCAATGCCTATCAACAGCAAGCACTTGTCCCTCTCAGGAACTCTCACGGTTTGGACGGTTTTCTTATTTGCACAACTTTCGTTCTATAAAGAAAAAAATTCTATGTAGACTACGAACATCATCATGGCTAATTGGTCGAGGTCGATGTGGCAAAATGTTGTGGACAGAGCGCTTCGAATTGTTAAGATCGGGTCCGTTTGGTTCGCATTTGTACACGGTAACGGTCACTGTCAGCTGAAATTGAAAGTGAACTGTGATATTCATGAGACAAACATTTTTATCTAATCGATGTTCATTGTGGCAGTACACTATCAATAAACTAGCAACCATAGGGTGTTGAACAATCAGAGTGGAGAGCAGTAAATTATATTGAAATGAGTATTTTCTTCGTTTAGCCGTTCCGAGGTGTTATTGATATTATTTATGAATACTAGCGAAGCATGCAACAATACAGTAGTAGTGCAGCTTGAATATACAATATTCGAGATGGCTATCGTTTCGGCGGGTCGCCTTCTTCAGAGCCTGGAAAGATCATATTGATCCACAGTACACTAAACCAAAACCTCCATAAACCTAGCAGAAAACGTTGAAAAGGAATTTTGGATCGCATAGTAAAAACTTCATTCTAAACACTCACTATTTTGATGTTTGGGTCTATCAATTATTGATTGAAGACCAGCCGCTTAGGGTCAGTGCATCAGTGGGCTGCGCGTAACTCAGGCCGGAAAGATCAGCCTCAGGTATGGTTCGAGGTCACTCGTAATTACGAGACACTCCTCTTTTCGGTTCATTTTTGGGCCTTTGCTATGTATCCAAAAGGCTTCTACATTGAAATGCACAATGTGATGAATTTGTGCTTACTATTTTACTTGAGAAGTAACTGAGAAGTTCCCATATACATTTTTACAGGCCGAATTTCTGCTGTGAAATAAATAATATTAGAAGGTTTGGAATAGTAGCCGGAACTGATTTTACAGCAGCGCCGCTCTGAAGTTCCAGCGAAAAATTCACTCATTCGCCTCTCGAAAAGTTGCAAATTTCATCTCCAGTCATTCACATTTTGGGTGCTCTGAAATTAATGCCAATGAATGTGCTTGCTTTTATAGATGTTACTCATATCCGCATAAAAGTTGGTGAGTTGAAACAAATATGAAAGATGTGATATTGTAAATTGGCGATTTGCACGAAGAGATGCCTCTTGTCTCATGAAAAATTTCCAAAATGATGAATAATAATGTAGTCGTTCAAAAGATCCTGAACGCTCCCTTGCTAGAGATTCATTAGTTTTATTACATCTATTTAATAAGTCTTTAGAAGCTGCAAATACAAAGAGCACTGTTAGAATTTGAGTGCCTGTTCTAGTGAATTTAAGTGAGTTGGCAAGGGTAAGCTATTCTAACACTCTCGGGATAAGTGATCTTCAAAGTAGTAACTCTGAAATTGCCGGAGAGGATGGTAATGACTTTATGATCAATTTTAACGATCCCTCGTTCCAACACATAATTCGTATTCTTACAGTTTTTAAGACTAGTCGATTTCCTACCGAGCGCAGATGATGTGGCGGGCGAAGACCATAAGAGGTGTCACCTGAACTACTCACTTCAAGTTCAAGAAAACCTGTCGGACGACTCTACAATACTGAAGTAGGTCATTATACCGTTGAAAAACACTAGCCAGTCGTTCTTCGCTTTTCTCCGGTAAATACAATGGACTGAATTATGAATTTGCTTGCATTTTTCTGGATTCCATTGATAGTTCAACGAACGCCCACATAGCACGAATGAAAATTCACCTGTGGACCATCGCATCGAATAATACTACACTAAAGACAGAGATGACGAGATATTAGCTGAATAGATACATGTTACTAACCTCATTTCAGCCTAATAATGCAAGAAAATGATCAATTACGTATGCCGAGATCAGATCAAAGCCGACTCTTCTGGATATATTGGGTTGCCTCATGATTTCCTCTGCATTTCGACACTTTTGTCGATTCAGTTGTCAGTTATTTAACGAAATCAATCAACTAACAGCATAATGCACTATCATTCTATATAATATATAATAGCATAAGCCATGCATTCGTTTTCATTTTAACTTTGTTAGAGGTGATCTCCTATAAGCGAACATCGATCACATCGTTTTGAACAAGGTGAAATTGACTCAATGTCAGTGTCATTCCATACTTTTGAATCTGACCACGACATTCTCCTGTATAAATATTCCATTCAGATAGGAGATGATCAAGAAACTGTCATCGAGTGAAATGAGAAATCCGCATGAAACGAATCCGTTTTCAACAATGTCATATAATATATGGCAGACACAAAATTGAGGATCCGAACGCAAACTAGGGAAGCTGCTAGAAGTTTTCTGATGCTGTTTTCTGTAAAATCTTCTTAGTTCCAAGATAAATTCTGTACGTTGATCAAGCGTGATCAAACATCATGCAGAAATAAAGTCTTTGCTCCAGATTTCTAGTGTTTTTAGTGCTTTTATCGCAGTGTTAGATATTTCACATACATCTAAGAGATTGAGTGGTGAGCAAAAACACGCTTTGGCGGGAATCGAACCCTCGTTTCATTCTTACCGGGGACGCGTGCTACCACTACACCACCGAGGTGCCTTTCTCTTAAGTATATGTAAAGCCTTTGCGCTAAATTGCATCTGCTGCCTTCTGCCATACTCATAATAAAAAGGTTTCCAACACCAGGTGTGGGAGGTAGAGGACTGCCTTTATCGATATGGAGAGAAGCGTATTCAAGTGACACATTGTGCTAATGCAATGCTCAAAAACCAGTTGTCGAGGTGAGAAAATCTCTGTCAAATCTTGAATGAAAATGGACTGCGTGAGAGAGACAAGTTAAAGAAAATTCCAGTGAATGCGCCAATTTTCTAGTTGTTCGGCTTATATTTCGGTTCCCGCCTTCTTATTTCTGGTGCTGCGACAATCGACAAAGCGCCTGAATCACAACTGGAAATCTGAAAAAAAATGTTCCAAAGAAGACATCGATTGATAGAAACCAAACGCAGTTCTCTTGCAAAACTTTTTCGGTATTAGTTTCTAAGCAAAAATTGAGTTTATGAACCTTTGATGTTCTTATTAGCCTCTTACATTTAGCACACCCATAAATTATAGTTTTAAACGGAGTGGTCAGCTGATAGTCAAATTGAGTCGATCTATAGAATTTCAATAGTATGAGTTGAGAATAGGCGTGTAATAAGATGTTAGCAAAAATCCACCGATATGAAGAAGTTAACGGAAAATCGTGCCAGGATTGGGTCCCAGAATAAACAGCTCCATGAAGACATCAAATGTTGCCGTGAGATAGGACAATATTTTCCATCGATGAATCGCCAGTGCATAGAAACGGGAAATCATAATGGACGATGTTTAAGAATGTAGTTGATGTGATGATAAGCAGACGCTACTCTGATTCATCTTTTCAAACATTTCAAGGTGGATGTCTACAGAACGCCGTCCTTTCCGCATTTTCCGCTCGATGTGCAGGCAAAACAAGATTTGTTATTGCGCATTTCATATAGTGAAATCTCATTTATTGTTAGTGGTTACAGACCTCTTTAGTGGTCTCTCCATTTCTGTAACGTTTCTGAAAATCGTTTGGAGAGTTTGGAGTTTTCCTTCACTACACTAAGTGATCAATTCGACTCAATCAGTTTGCGAGGTTTGAAGACCTGAAGATGTCTGCCACAATAACGCTTCGAAGGAGATATTGCTTTACTACAGAGAAAAAAAGCAACAAAATTTGATGCCATTCCGACATTTTCCCAGTTGGGACAATATTACTCGTTCTCATGTTCACTGAATTGTTGCGAGCATACGATGGCCGAGAATTTCGAATTTTGAAGAGCTCTCTAATGACCGTACATCTCCAACAAATTATTAGGTTCGAAAGAAAAGTTCTAGAGTAACTTGTGGAAAGCTATGAAAATTCATGCATGAATTCCAAGCAAAGGCAATAATGACTATTCTTGCAAATTAAAGGCCATCGTTTCCCGCGACTTTCTGCAATCGGCCTGCCAACTACAAAGGGTGTTCGGAGTAATTCTTTCGACATCGAGTCAAAGAACTCTTAACGTGCTTCTTCAGCTTCATCGAACCACTCAAAGTCTGTTGGACGTCCTAAACGAGTCTTGTCTCCGAGGTGATCTCCGGCATTGAGAAGCGTTGAAACCAGCGTCCATCAGGCGGATTTGCTTATGTGCCTTCCCTTTCAACTTCATTGATCATCGACTGTAGTTCGATGTGAAAGACCCTTTCTCCAATAATGACCGCAATGAAACATGAACTGCGATTATGTCGTTAGACAGGGCGATGGCTTGTAACGAGTACTTTCTTTAAAGTTAATTGCATATTCCTCACCCAATTTTTCCTAATTATTTCACTGATGTTGTTAATCTTTGTTTCAGCTACTTATTCAGCAATAAAATAATTTATGCAGCAAGCACCGATCATCAATTGTTCACCCGAATTATCGGTACCGGTCAACACTTATCCGCATTGCATACAGCTTGACTTGTAACATTCAACAATTATGCGTTCAAAGTCCGAATGTCGTCAAAATGAGCCATTATTGCTCCATGATTGGCACGCTGGGCAGTTCTGCCATTGCTTTCAAACTATCACTGCTTTGGCCAGATGTCTTATACTGCATTATACTGCACTTATTCATCGCGTTTTCCAAAGGCCATTTTGCTTAATGAACAAAATTCACTGCTGGTTTATTGACAAATAAGAAGTTCTTTTTCTAAATGCTCAAGTAATTATTGCATAATTCGTCGCTCCGACTAAGACCCTCTATCTTAAGAAACGAAGTTTAAACTGGTACTAATCAATTTTGCTATAATCTAATGTTAATGTGCTACTGAAGTACCGAAGAACGAGCTGTGCTCAGTTCTAATATAGAAGAGAAATTTTCAAAAACCTACTCATATCCGACGAGTTCCTGTTCCAATCGATAACAAATGAAGGACATATTCATTTGGATAGAAATGTCCGCCATTTTACTGGGAATTCACGATGGCTACAGAGAAATTGAATAACCGCTCGGTGTTGTTCTAATTGCACTGCTAATTCGGTAAGCATTTCCAACACCGGACTGTTCTCGTTCTACATGCGCTTCTGTAATCAGGGAACGATGGCAAGTGAAAATACTATGGGCTAATAAGTTATATAAATATCATAAGTGTATAGACTAACATCGAGTACAGCCGCTAATATTCAATACGAAATGTGATTGCTCCGCCCTGTCTATGAAACAAATTCGAAAAATAGCTGCTTGCTCGTTCTCGATATCTCTGTGTGCTCGTGGGTATGATTTGAAGGAAAAATCGTTTCCACAAGTACTGAAATTTGAGCATTACTATGTCTTCAAGAAATGAAAACGCCATCAAGCTCGATTTGGGTCAATCATAACTGCAAGCGAAGAAGAAGCACTCTCCGTTATATTTCTCTGCACAATAGGAATGTAAAATTCTCAGTAATGAACATGTTTTGAGTTAGTTCTAGCATTTTCGCCACAAGTATCTCTGAGAATTGAAGTCGAAATTGCCGGAGAGGCCGTTAAGGATTTTATTGAGAAGTTTTTTGCGTTGTCTCAGTTCATACACAGGTTAATTATTTCACAGCTTTTATATTCGGCTGATAACTTTTCGGTCCCTCCTTGAAAAACCGGCTCTCCTTGTCATTACCATTCAATAACACTTCTCTATTACAATTTAGCTAATATCGATGTGGTTGAAAAATAAACTTTATTCGGCCGATAATTCGATTCTTCTTCGTTTCTTCAGAGCCGATAATTAGAGTCGATCGTCCACAATTATTCGTCATCGCTGTCGTTCAAGTGCGCTCTTTTTCGTGGAGCACCGCCCGAATGGAAAACCTCACTCGGCAATGTTCATTGATATGGAACTGCTCTTATAAATAATGTTTCTCATTTCGAATGTTTCAGAAATCTCGTTTTATAACATCGATCAATTCTGAGAACTGTTTCAAGCCTTTTCAAGGTTTAGCATGTCACTGGCTTTATGTACATTTCGGCAATCTTCAGAATATAACGATGCTCTCTAGTGACATTTTTGAAACAGCAGATTGAAGATGAAAATCTATATGACCTATGATAACCGCATGCCATCGACTTTGAAAAGGCTTGGACAACATTACACAGTTGTGAAGTCCTGGCATGTTGTCATTTAAAGCACTGTCAACCTATAACTAACGCTGACAACTTATATGGCACTATCATGTGGCATTTAGGCATATTGTATACGGTACATCGCAAAGTGGAGTTCTTCATTCGAGCGATGTTCCTTTGAAAGAAAGTTGAACGAGCACAACAACGAAGAACGAAGACCACAATGAGGGAAAACGACAGTGGACATTCGAATCTAATCATGGGCTCCGAGAAGATGAGGACTCGAAAACGTTGAGCCCATTAGAGTTCATTTATAAACTCCTGGTGTTAGGTAAATCATAAAAGTCACTGCATTGAAGAACATCTTAGTCTTATCTTTCTTCCTATATATAACTACTTATATAGAATTGGAAACCCTGCCTATAGGTAGCGCAGACTGTGACAACAATCAAGCAATGATGGAGGGCTAGGCATGCTCATTCTGAGTAGAGCTCTTGACCATCTAAGAATGGGAATATTTGTAGATCCATAACAATTCCTATTCATTACTTTGACCTCCAGGAATCACTCCACATCCAAACACAGTTGAGATTGAGACTACCAACAAAATCATAAATGGAGCGCTCGAAGATCCTGCCTTGCTTGTAAGAATAATCATTTTCCTAAAATAGAATAAGTATTATAGAATCAACTATGGCTAATGTCCACATCTTTTGTGTCAGATCATCCACGAGATAACAACAATTCGGCACTCGACACCTATACGAGAGTGACGCCGCCTTGGTTGATCTTTGATTTTTTCTGGTTTTTTCAATTGCTTCGAAGGATCTTTAAGTCTGCTTGATTCAGAGCATAATCTTTTAAAGGCGTATTTGTGACACATTGTGCTAATGCGATGCTCAAAAGACCAGTTATCGAGGTGAGAAAATCTCTGTCAAATTTTGAATGAAAATGAACTGCGTGAGAGCGACAAGTTAAAAAAAATTCCAGTGAATGCGCCAATTTCTCAAGTGCTCGACTTATATTCAGCTCCCGCCTTCTTTTTGTGATGCTGCGACAATCAACAAAGCGGCTGAATCACAGTTGCAGTTCTGAGAAAAAAGTCTTCCAAAGAAGATATTGATTATTAAACAGCGAAGCTTCTATTTTGCATTTTGCATTTTTTTTGCATTTTTTGCATTTGCATTTTTCTCATTGCAAAACTTATTCGGTAAAGAATTTCTGAGCGAAATTGCGTTTGCTAAATGGTGATGTTCTCATTAGCCTCTCACATTTAGCATACGTCCATGAATCATAGTTTTAACAGAGGGATAAACTGATAGCCAAATCGCGTACATCTATTAGAAATGCAACTGCGTGGTTAGGAGGCATCGTATGCAATAAGATGCTATCAAAAATCCAGTAATATGAGGAAGCTGACGGAAAATAGTGTCAATATTGGGTCTTAGATTAGAACAGCTGCAT